TTGAAAAATAAGGAACTCATGCAATATTACAAAATGGGTGACCCTGGAGGACATTATGCTGAGTGAAATATCTCAGTCACAGGAGGACAAATACTGTATAGTGTCACTTGTAAAGTGGAACTGATATCGTAGGTCAGAGGAAACTAAGAGGGGATAAATAATACATACTGCATTGAAACGGATGAGGGAGAGAACTGTTTAGGAGGAATATATGATTAGGTATTATTGTCATGACAAGAGTCCAAAATGAAATCTGCATAGTGAAGTGGAGTGTGTGTGTGGTGGGTATATAACAATGAAAGGTTCGTTGTTTTTTGTTTGTTTTGGTTTTTTTTTACTTGTCAAAGAGGAAAGTGAACTAAGGGGAATGGTGGGCAGGGAGGTAAGTGTGCAACAATGAATGCATGGATATAAAAAAAAAATAGAAAAAATTCAGAGGCTAAAAAAAAAAAAGATAGGCTGTAGAAGACTCATATCCACCTGTCTGTCTTGTCTCCATCTGTCTCCTTGTCCAACTTTACTTCTGTCAAGCAGTGTAAGTTTTCACTAGGATTTAGGCGGAGGGAGACTGAGATTCTTTGGGGCTTGATTGGCAGGTGTAAGTGAAGACCACCCCTCTGAGTGTCTGTTGTACACCTTGCATAAATTGATGCCAGGTTTCCCTGTGGATTTCCATACCTCCCTGTGTAATCTATTCTGTACACAACATCTAGCGAATATCTTTCTGTAAAGGAACTCGGAGTATATTGTATCCTGCCTCAAAATGTTCCAGTGACTCACACAGTCCTGGTCAACCTCTTTACCCTCAACTGTCACTCCTCTGTCTCGGAGCACATGCTCCAGCCACACCAAACTTCTTACATCTGCTCCAAAGAGGCTCTCTTCTTGGCATCCTCTAGATTCTAGACATATGGAGCGCACTCCCTGCTCTCTTCCCTCTGGCTTGGTCTCATTTTCTTTCAGATTTAGTTCCTTTATCATTTATTTCAAAAAATATTCTAAGACAGGGCTCTGTGTCCTTGGGATTCTCACAAATTCTTAAAATTTGTGTTATTATAGCACTTATTAAAAACACATCATTAGTGCATGTTTATTTTCATTAATTATGTGTTTAATGAATGAATCAATGTGTAACTCATAACTGGAAACCTAAGAAATCATTTTAGGAGTCTCTGAGTGGTACAGTCGAGGAAGTGCTTAGATACCAAGTGAAATGTTGAATGCTAAAATACAATCAGATGTCTCACAAGAAAGACCTGCTGATCTGTTTACATACAGCTCAGAATCGAGAAAACCCTGGGGCACGACTCTGCTGTCACACACGTGGATACATGTAAGGTCACCACAAGTCAGACGCGAATGAATGCACTTTTCACAAAGAAGGCAACGTACAGTTCTCCACATTTTATGCTGCAAAGCTTGGCACGTGTTATGGACTGAATCGTAACTCCCCAAACTATGTTGTAAATCCTACTATTCCCGTGATCATAATGCCATTTGGGAATAGGGGTTTGTTTGTTATGTTAATAAGGCAGAATATGATGTGTTTTAAGTCTATTCCTCTTAAGGCATAAACAAACCAGACTGAGAAAGGAAATAGTGACAGAGGTAAGATAGATACCATGCTATGTGAAGATTGCCAAGAGCCCAACAAATAGAAACTAAGAAGAGACAATGTCCTTTATTCTAGTGCAGAGAGAGTGAGCAAGTGTGAGTGCAAAAAAGGTGTTCTACTAGAAAATGAGACCAAGGTGTGCCTGATCCAGGCCATGGTCATTGCAATCACTTGCTATGCATCAGAGAGTTGGACAATGACTAGGGATGATAGAAGGAAAATTGATGCCTTTGAACTGTGGTTCTGGAGAAGAGTATTGAATGTACCATGAAATACTAAGGAAACAAACAGGTTCATCCTGGAGAGGGTGAAGCCGGGCTGCTCCTTGGAGGCAAGGATTCTGAAGCTTCATCTGACGTACTTTGAACATGTTGCAAGGAGGGACCAGTCCTTGGAGAGGGACGTCATGCTTGGGAAGGTGGACAGCACAGGAGAGGAAGACCCTCGATAAGATGGATTGATTCAGTGACTGGGGTAATGGGGGTAAGTGTATCATAGGGTCACTATGAGTTGCAGGTGACTCGATGGCACATAACAACAACAACAACTAGAAAATGAGAGCAGAATTAAAACGTCTGGCCTCCAAAACCGTAAGAAAATATGTTTCTCATAATTAAAGCCACTTAGTTGTGATTCTGCACTAGGAAATGAGAACAACATGTATAAATAGCAATCTCCATGAACGCAATTAGTGTGTGCTCTCTTTCTGCCTCCTGTTGGATGATTCAATGCCAGGTCATCCATATGGTTCCATTTATACCTCCAGAGCCTCTCTATCCATCCCACTCCCACCCCAAAGCCCCATCTTTCCCTCGTAGTTCCATCTCTCCCAACCACCTCGCACCGGTCACATGGAGGTCTTCCAACTGGTAGGTGGCACCCAGCCAGTGGGAGGAGGCATTCAGGGTCCTGGCTAGGAAGACTTCCTCCACCACACTGGGGTCCAGATTGGAGGAGAACAGGACCCTGAGGGTCACCAATGCAGAGTTCAACCTGGAGATAGAGACAGAGACAGAGAACTTAGCTGGTCACATCAGTGGTGATCGCTGAGCTTCAGCCTACGGTCGTGGACTGTGGCACAAATGGTGGAGGGGACTAGCAAAGAGTCTTCCTAGTCTAAGAAAAAGACCTTGACCAAGAATTAGAGATGGAAGGCTTAAGAGTAACTACAATAAACATATATTAAACACTTGCCATCTACTAGACTCAGTGAGAAGTGACTTACATACTCTCATTCTTAATAGGAGGTATTACAATTATCTCCATATTATAAGGGAACTTTAGAACTACTCAGAGCCAGCAATCAGTTCTATAATCCTCCTTTCTTCAATGGGAGATATCGTAATTTCTTCACCAGCCCTCAGAGACTTGTACTCAAACTCCAGTTTTGAGAATTCTTAGGCAGTTCCTGTCACTTCTCTGAGCCTCATTTCCCCCCTCTAAACAATGGGGATGATAATCATCCCCACCTCATAGGAACTATTTTAGGCATTAAATGAGATTATAATACATGAAAGTTCTCATCAAAGTCTGATCCATAGTGGATATTACTATCAGACAGGTATTTTGAGTTCTGCTCTTCCTATGTGTTGTAAATGGTTAATAAAAACACCGGATGTTAACCAGAATGATGGTGGTTTGCCTGAGTCTACCCAGAGGTGCCTCCAAAGGAAGACCTAGTCAACCAACCAATCAATAAATTTCTTTTTTTAAAAATCAGCTAAAGAAAATACTGTGGATTAGCTCTGCCTTGGCACACACGGGGCTGCCATGAGCTGGGACTAATTTGAGGTCAACTCACTGTTATTTTGAATTCTCCATTATAAAGGTGGCTTTCCCAAGTATCCAGAAGAGGATAAAGAGGTGAGTGAAGGAGGCTGGGGTCCTCATGAGGTTACTGCCCACCATCGTCCCACCCCTAACTCTGTGACCCACAGGAAGTAGAGGGTAAATGCAGCTGGCAGAGTCCTGGGACAGAGGGGCACCGTATCGGCAACGTCCAACTGAAAGATCTGACATGGGAGCTAAACACCAAAACGCAGTCAAGGCTCCCAGCCTCCCAAACTTACTTCAGGTCAGTGACCAGGCAGGAGCGGAACACAGCTCGTAGTTGGCTGCTTTTGTAGAGAGCGGTGACCTGGAGTGAGAAAGAAGGGAAGATGCTGAGATCTCCTGGGGGTGAAGGAGCAGCTGGAGCTAGTGGAAGGAACACAGGCCTGAAGGAAGGCAGGATGAGTTTGGGTCCTGGCTTTGTCCCTAGCTCACTGTGTGGTCACAGGCAGGCCATGTTCCTTTCTGAGTCTCACTCTGAGATGAGGAAGGCAGCCCAACTACCAGCTTTGAAAACCGAGAAGTTGGAACACATAGGTAAAGTGAAGAGTTGAAATAATCACTTAGTATATACAAGTCTGATGGTGAAGAAATCCAGGGCAGGAAGACAGGGGTAGGGCAAGAGAGAGTTTCACCTTGTCCTGGATGTCCCACAGCAAGGCAGTGTACTCGGAGGATGCAGGGTCCAGCTCACTGATATTCTGGTTGACGATGCGAAAACGCAGTTGGTACTCACTCTGGCTTGATAAACTTTGGGATGTATAACCTGGCATCAAAAAGAGAAAGAAGTAGGCAGGGCCCCTTATGCTTTTGCACACAGGCAGGGTGGCTTTGAGGGTTCTTACTTGTTGCTATATTATTTTAAAAAATAAAACCTAAAACTGAAAAACTCCAGTTGCCATGGAGTCAATTCTGACTCCCATCAGCTGTATGTCATACTGAAGTCCATAGAGTTTGAAGTGGCTGGATTTCTGGAAGTAAATTGCTAAGCCCTTCTTTTGAGTACCTCTAGATGGACTTGAACCTGCAACCTTTACGTTAGTAGCTGAGCATGTCCTGTTTGCATCAATCAGAACTACAAGCAGTTGTCTATTATAATCCATAATGATCTTATATGGCAGAGTAGAAGTGCATCATCAAGCTTCCAATGTTGTAATATTTATGGAAATCAAGATGAATTACATTGGGAAAGTGCTGTCAGGGTCTTCTCCAGAGTACTGAAGAGCAATTATGTCAGTCGGAGACTAAAGTGAGTCTGATTCAGGCCATAGTCTTCACAATTGCTTGACATGCATCAGGAAGCTGGACAGTGACTAGCGATGATAGAAGGAGAATTGATGTATTTGAGCTGTGGTGTTAGAAAAGAGTATTGAATATACCATGGAATATACTAGGAGAACAAACAGGTTCATCCTAGAGAAAGTGAAACCAGGCTTCTCCTTGGAGGCAAGGATTCTGAAGCTTCATCTAATATACTATGGGCATGTTGAAAGAAGGGATCAGTCCTTGGAGAGGGATGTCATGCTTGGGAGGGTGGAGGGACAGTGCAGGAGAGGAAGACCCTCGATGAGGCGGATTGACTCAGTGACTGGGGTAATGGGGGTAGGTATGTCAGAAACAAATAAGGCTGGCTCAGGATACAGAAGCGTTCAGGGCTGTTGTACATAGGTCACTATGAGTCACAAGCAACTTAATGGCACATAACAACAGCAACAACAATATTTATGGACACAGGCAACCACAGCTTTCTTCTGCAGAGGAGCTTCTGGGTTCAAAATGCCAACCTTTCAGGTTTAAATACTTAAAGCTTGGCACCTCCAGGTCTATAGTTACTAAAAATTAGGCTCATATATTGAATATTTCTGAGATTTCCTAGTAAAAAGTCATTCCTAAGAGAGGAGGAGCTGGGGCATTACAGACATTCTCCTATCTGAGCTTTCCTGCTTCTGTCTATGCTATCTAGTACCCCCCTTCCAGAAATGTTTTTTGATCTCCTTTTCCCAGAAATCTTCTATTTATGCTTCAGTGGACCATTTAGTTGGAACTCCAAGAAAATAGGGACCTAGGTCTGGTTCACTGTCATGTCCAGGACCTCGCCACATAATACACCCTTCTGGTAAACCTTCATTGACTCACTGTTCCTTAAACAAGGTCCCATGTTGCTGTTAATGGCCATCAGGTTGGCCTGACTCACATGATCTTGTAGACGATACAAGGATAGGACTGCTGTGATCCATAGGTTTTTACTGGCTGATTTTTGGAAGTAGAACATCAAGTCTTCCTTCCTAGTTCATCTTACTCTGGAAGTTCTTTTGAAACTCTTCAGTATAATAGCAACATGGAAGCCTTTACTCACAGAGGTGTGGTGGAATGCATGAGGTGCCCTGACTGGGAATCAATCCTAAGTTTCCTGCTTGGAAGGCACGAATTTGACCATTTAGCACCCTGACAATAAGATTGTCACTGGCTTCATGCCCTATAGCAGTCGTTAGTTCATTCAAATATGGGTTTCTTAAAGACAGAAACTGTATTGGTACAGAACAGCTTGTTAAATGAATATATGTTTCTTGAATGAATGAATGAATGAATAAAGGTGAGTCGCAACAGACCTTCAAACATCGAAGACCCCTAAACAGACTGAGATAATTTTTACTAGTTTATTCATTCATTCATCCATTATTTATTCTTCTAGTCATTCAAGTTCAAATCCAAGGCAACCAAAATATGACTCTGAGTCTATCCCACCTGAATTTCAGAACCATCTCAGGAACAGGTTTAGGCCTTGAACACTAATGAGCGAAGACCAGATGAGTTGTGGGAGGATATCAAGGGTATTATCCAGGAAGAGTGCAAATGGTCATTGCAAAGACCGAAGAGGAAGAGGAGACCAAAACGGATGCCAGAAGAGACTCTGTAAATTGCACTGGAGCGCAGAGAAGCCAAAGCACAAGGACGAATTCAAGATACTAAAGAGTTGAATAGAAGATTTCAAAAGGCAGCACAGGATGACAAAG